ATAGTGTAAAAAAAATGGGGGGGGGGGAGAAGCCTAGACAAGAATGGGAGATTTGGGGACAAAAGCATCACTCCACTGTGTGTTTTGTATCAACAAAAGCTTTATTGCAATTTGCGGAAAAGACAACCAAGAATCTTAGGCAGGGATGTAAGGAGGCAGCGATTTCCGGGCTTTGCTGGATTCACCACTTTATATTGTAAACCACCCCATGATCTTTGGCTGAAGGGCAGTATAAAAATTTAATAAAGGATAATAAACAATCACAATCAGCACGGTTTCTGTTCCACTGCAGTTCAGCTTCAGCAAAAACCTATGTCTATCACGCTATCCACTACAGATGAAAATAACATAATTATGTAATTAATTTCAATGCATTTAAATGGAAAATAAGTATCAAAAACGATGACAGAAAATAACATAGCATTTTTTGGAGTGAAAAGCAAACACTGCTCTTATTCGCTTGTGTGATTTCTGTTCCTGACCTTGGATGAAAATGCGGCAACTTCCACTCCCAACAATTTCTGACTGAATTCTCTGGCATCCTTAGTTGCGGGGCACTTTAAAGGATGGCTACCTTGCTACGGTCATTGACCCTGCTCCACTTCATCAGAGGAAGCCAAGTTTTATTGCAAATCAACACATACACAAAACAGCCCTCAACCTTGGAGTTAAAGATCACCACCGTGCTCAAAGCGGGGATAGATGCTACGGTTGCAAGTCCTAAAGTCCTTTGCTTACACCGGAAGAGGCATTTCATGAGTAACTCATTTCTGCAGAAAGAACTGTCAACTAGCTCAGCTGAACGTCTGCATTTTAAAGGCAAACACTGGCCATTTAACTGTGAAAAATTAACTTTTCAGTTTAGGAGCCTCGTGGGAGAAAGGAAGCTAAGAAAAACCCACAGAGGGAGGATCGCAACAGCACGGACGTTGCAAGTCCATTCCGCCTTGGAAGATTTTTGCCCGCCCTTTTTACACATCCTTTCCATTACAAGCCCCTTTTTAAAAAACACAAACCTCAACAAATTAGAATGGATTAATAGGGAGGAACATCCAAAAAAGCAGGTGCGAGGCAAAAATACAAGCTTTCCACCTGGGGGAACCACATGCTCAACACAGAAGCCAGCATATGTTTTAATATTTTCACTGCACCTTTGAGACACTCACCAAGGAAGGGTGGGTGAAGAAACAAGAACCTCTAAATAAGGGGGATTTAGGTTGCGTGCCTTTACGAGAAATTCTCATGTTACTAAAACTCCAGACCTTCCGATTTGAGCCTTAAAAAAAGAAGTTTGTACCAAGCTACAGAGAAGCCACTGCAAGGAAAGAAGTTTTAATAGCTATCGCAAGGCATCCTGAAAAGTCAGGATAATTTTGGTGAACCTCAGCAAATGAAGGCAATGAGTAAAAAACAAATGTTCCAGATACTTTTATAAAAGGAAAGAACATGACAGCAGTGCCTTGCTTTGTGTGTAAATAGAGTATTCCTGAGCTTTGAGAAAAGCACCTTTTGGACAAGATCCAATCAGAACTTAAGCACTTTTCCAATGAAATCCATAGGGCACAAACATGAAATGGGTTCTTAATTCTCTCCATTAAAAATCAGGACCTTAAAAAGTGCTTAACTTTGGCTGGACTGTGCCCCTGAAATACAATTGTATAGCCTCCTAAATTTGGAAATATGGTGGCATTTGTATGACATATTGCTGCTCAGGCAATTTTGAATCTTCTTCAGAGAACCTGGCGGTCATACAGAATATCCACCATGCTTTTAAGGAATCTACTTCACTTTCATTCTGTATCACAAAGTGTTAACTGAGTTACCACACTTATATCTATGCACATTGTGCAAGAGCATGCAATCGACACACTTGCACTTCTCAACTCTTTTTTCCTACCACATTGGACATGCATATATGCCAGTCCATTTCCTGTAACCATGCTCAAACCTGTGAAATCCAATGTGAACTGAAAACAATGTGCAAGAACGGGGGGGGGGGAGCATCAGAGTAAGTCGCATTCAGAGTAATATTGACTAACTTGGTTCAGATGCAATCAAGTTCAATCAATAGGCCTAAGCTAGCTATGTTCATTCATTTCAATGGGTCTACTCAGAGTACAGCTAACACTGAATATAACAGTTTCATTTCAATGAGCCCCCCCTGAATACAACCTTATAAATGATGTTGTAGTGCAGCCTAGAGCAAAAACTCTACAATGTGAAACGTTCGGGACCTGTATGTAAAGAAACCATTTCTAATATGCAGTTGGGATTTTACATGAAAATTAAGACAGAAAAAAGACAGAATTTATCATTGTAAGTTTTACCCATCAACTTTTCTAGCCAATGCTGTAGAATGCAGAGATGACTCTCTTTTTATAATAATAATAATAATAATAATAATAATAATAATAATAAGCTTATGTACAGCATCAGCCTTGCAGATAATTCCATCTGGACAAACTCGTTAGCTTAGTTCATGCCAAACCACAGTTATGGGTGCTTAACAATGGTTCGGGCATTCTGCCTGAACTGACAAACCATGGTTTGAAGCAAGTTTGAAGCATCAGATTGGCACAACATCTGAATTAACAAACTCCAGGTTTGGCCACTGCTCCACTCCAGAGACCATTTGCACCATGAAGACAGAAGCCTATATGCCCAAGACCACTAAAGAAGAAGCCACTCTGTGCTATGGTTTTCCCATTGCAAGCTCAGACCATGGTTAGCCCAAACAAAGGTGGGTGGGGATGTCCAGAGCTACTGAGCCTCAAATTCTTGTTAAAAGGTACATAAAAACACATTCTTCTGTCTCTTCCTGGGGGAGTGGGGTTGGGAGGATATTGTTGGGTACCTGAAACTGAGACACTGCTTAAGCTGCCCGGCAGAAGGGGGGCCAATAAGCAGAAGTGGCTTACAAAATTATTTATGCTTCCGCCTTATCAGCCCACACAAGAGCTCTGCACCCACCCAGGGCAGTTTGTTCTGTGGAAGCAGAGAGTAGGGCCTTCTCAGCTACTGAGCTGCACCTGTAGAATTCCCTCCTTAGGGAGGCCCACCAAGCAGTTTCATTACTGTGCTTTAGAAGGGTGGTGCAAATCTATTTTCATATGTGACTTAAAAGTTGAATACATCAAATAGTCTGGGTCAATGTTTTGTTAAGCAGCTACATATTCTAGGAACTCCTTGCAAAAAGGTTTTATATATATATATATATATATATATATATTTGCATCTCACTATCTCAGGAACATACATATTTAGATCTGGGAAGTGGTCTCCCACAGCTTCCCTGCTATTACCACCAAAACGTCATCCGACAGTTTTAAAATCCAACATCATCGGGTGGTAGTCCACTACTGCTATTTCTAAAGGGCTGCACGCTGTTCTTCTCTAGACACCCTTTTATATTTTACACCACTGTTGCACAAGACTTAAGTTCCTTCCCTCGCCAAGAGTTGCATGCCACGAACAAGTGTTCCATTTGAACAGCTTCTCCCGGTCCAATTCTGACACATATTCCCTTGCTGGCTTGTGCCCGCAGTATCACACTCAAGACATCCTTCCTCTTAACAAATGGGCAGAATGGTGCCGAGGCAGGGGGCAGGGAGAGAATCAGTTCCAAGAGAATTCAGTATAAATTAGCTTTGGAAACCACGTGAATTAAAAAGGTTCGGCAGCTGAGATTCCTCCGAGTCAAAAGAGGGGGGCAGCGGAGAAGCAGAGTCAAAGAGAACTCTGTAGAAACCTGGGCTTCCTACTAGCCCAGCAAACTGTAGCAAACATACCAATTTCATAGTTGTACTCATAAATTCTAAGAAAGTAATGCTGTGTGTTCCACCTTGGGCAGACCAAACCTACCCCGTACTTACTAACTTACACTGTACTTACTGTGCTAACCACTTCATGCCTGCGCTGTGCAACTATTTCATTAACCCCTCCCTAACCAGAATGGGCACAAGACATACCGTCTTTCTCTTACAGACAGATTTGAGTCCACCTTTCCCCCGCTTCCAAGAACACAGACCAGAGGGATTCCAGCCATGAGTTTCTGTCCAAGGAGAAAGAACGGGACCCAACTGCAGGAACACTCTGGGGGACGTGCCGTTGACGCTAGATGTTCCAGTACTGGTTGAGAAGGACTATTTCAGCTTGCATTTTTTTAAAAGAAAGAAAAACATCGCCTATGCTGAAAGTATTTCCTCCACATTAAGAGGATGAATGCAGCACCACTGCCACCACCTTGCGAACTAACAGAGCCAACCCTGAAAAGCTGGCCCCAACAGCAGTCTTGGTTCTGAGTTTTGTTTTGGAGGTAGCCTTCGGACAAAAGCTCTTTTGAACATGACTGACATGTCCTTGCAAGCAACCAAATGCATTACAACAAGGCGGCCCTGAATAAAGTGGGGGGTGGGGGGGTGGAGAACAGGTCACTTATCCAATCAAACTTAAGGCTCTTTGTTCCAACGCTTCTTCCGCAGGCAATGCTCAGAGGAGCTCAGGCCTTCCAATAGAAGCCAGAGGCTCCCTGGCTCAAAAGCTTGTGAGTGAACTAGCACTTCTCAAAAGTTATGCACTAGGAAAAAAGGGGGGGGCACGTTGGGAAGGAGCAAAACTAAACAGGAGGGAACTGCCCCACATAAAGGCACCAAAAAGCAGACAGAGAAACAGACGAGCCCTTTACTTTGTCAATATACCACAGGCGCTCAACACAGTTGTCATTTTATTATTAAGATCCAAGGTAGACACGAAAGGCTGCTTGTACCAAACACACAATGACACAAGGAGATGGATCTGCGAGAGACGGGCCTTCCTTCACACAAACCAGGTAGTTTTCAGAGAACCTTCAGACACCAGGTATTCCAGCCTTAAAAGTCTGTTGCAAATTCTGCTAGCTTCTCCCCGCCCACCCCCTCAACATGGTCCATTCCTCTCTACATTGCTCAGCAAAGTGAGATTCTCAGGATGCCCTGAATCCCCCCATTATTGATCTTTCTTACCTTAGGTTGAGCTCGTCGAGGAAATGCAACTTTAGGGTCAATCTGTGAGGGAGCAGGGAGGAGAGAAAAGAAAAATGAAAAGCAACGTAATTTGCGCAGATTCTTCAGAAAGGCAAAAAACAAACAAAAAAAGGATACTGTACTGAATGATTAAGCCTTCATTTCTCAGGTACATTGAGTTTTGCAGGGTTACTAACGGGGTGCAGAGGTGTAAGGGGGGGATGATCATATGGGGGGGGGAGAACACACAGAAAGTGAACCAATAATGTGTTCTGTGAGCTATCAACAATATACAGTACTGTTTATAAAAAAGATTTTGAGCTAAGTAGAGGAAGGAGTTCCCTGTTGCTAATTTGACCATCAAATCCTGGATGCTAGACTCAATTTGCATATTCTGCAGATTGCATGCATTTAAAAATATGAGCAATTGGGAGGGGAATGCAAACCATTCTGACTTTCAATGCACACAATCTTCGTGCCGTTTGTGTTTGTTTTCTTTTGGATTCTTAAAGCCTCTGCAGTTTAAGAAAACTATTTAAAAGAAAGAACAAAAACAGCAACTGCCAGTTTTTTTTAAAAAAAAATCAGCTGGAATGCCTGAAAGGAAAGCTTTTTCCAACCCAAACTGCATATCCCCAATTTCACTTTTAGCAGGTCACCCTGAAAGGATGCTAACTGTGAAAAAACTTCCTTTAAGAAAAAACGACATCCACAACTAACATACAGTCTTGAACATCCAAGGCTAACTATATGAAAATCTGTATCTGTTTAAGGCAGATTTGATTTTTTAAAGCTAATTTAATTCAATAACTTGCAATCCCACCCTTCAAAAAAAATGAGAATAAAATAATAAATCAGGTAATAAAACTCTGAACCAAACCATAGAATTTTTTAAGGCTATATCCTTAACTGACAATGGACTCCTGTCTTCCAAGGTGCTAAAACCACAGATTTATAGCTGCCACGTAAATAATAAAAACGGTGACTTGTCAACGGGTATCTCAAAAAAAGGTAATAAAACAGATTCCTAAAGCTGCGGTCTTAAACTCACTCACTAGGAAGCAAGTTCCACAGTGAATTAACTCCCCCGCTCAAGTAAATTTGTACAGGGTAATGTTATTGGTCTCGAATCTCCTTTGGTTCTAGACACTGCTCAAAATACAGTATTTCTGAATCACTTGATTTAATTAAAAAATGTCATGTACACCTTTATGAACCTCTGCATAGCAAACTTGGGTGGAGGACAGAACAGGGCAGAGAAGAGATTCCGACTGGCACAGCTTCTTAATAAACTGCCTATGAAAGAATTAACCTTAGACATGAATAAGCATGTTGCAGATATGGGGTACAGGTTCCATTAGCCAAGTTAATAAGATGCACAAAGCACAATCCTATTTCCTACTGAGGTCAACAGGACTCACACACACATACCCCGAAAGTGGCTACAAGACTGCAGGCCTGAAAATAATTTTCACAACTTACTCCCCAGCTTCTTCAGCTGATTTACTCACTGCAGGCTACTCGTATCACTTTAAAGCCTAAGTTCTGCTTGCAAACCAGGGGCGAGTCTTTAAGAGAAACCTTGGCTCAGAGGACCAATATCAGAGTCACTTTCAGCAGGTTAAGAAAACCTATTCGTTGCCTGCATAAAACAGGGATATTTTCAAGCTGCTTTCATTCAACTTGTGTCCCTTAGCTGGCATGTGTCATCACACCACACTCCACTTACGATAAAAACTTTAAAAAAAAAAAATTAAAAAGCAAGAAAAGAAAAACCATATACCTGAGAAATGAGTGACTATACACCACTGTAACAGTTCGTGAAGCATGAAGAGAAAACTCATAAAATCCTTAATCTACAAAGCTAACCCTTTCATAGAGATTAACATTGTCTACATATATACACATATATATTCAGCACTGGCTAGATACTTTTCTACCAGAGAAATACAACAGGTGCAGATTTCCCATTGAGTGATCTAAAAGTTTGGGGGTGGAGGGTGGGGGGCAGAGAACAGGCCTACCATTATTATACAACTATAATGTTTGGGAGAGTTGATGTAAGTCATCAAGCTCTAAAGCATAGGTTAAACTCAAAAGGTTGGGTGTCTTTCGCACAGTGACTCTTTTGACTGCTCCAAAATGGGGGAAATGTCAGCCTAAAGCAACCAGGAGATTTAAAGCACGACCCACACGGCAAATCCATACCTGTTGCGTATCCCTGTCAACTATTTAAAAGAACAGCCGACAGAAAAAAAGGCTACTAAAAATAAAAATTAGTTAGTTAGATAGATACAATGCTACTTACTGTATCTACAAAGTCCTCTAGGAAATGACTAATAATAATAGTACTATTTCTGATATGAATGGCCATTACCTAAACCAAGCTTTTAACGTAACTGTAAACAAGAGCGGCGCCTTCCATGTCAATACCCAACCGAGCTGCTTCCTGTGCTGAACGTTGAAACAGAGTCAAATGCTATGCAGGACAAGATACTATCAGAGGTCTAAGAAGTCAGCAGCTATAAAGCGAAACCCCATCTTAGCTTTCTCTCTTTTTAACTCTGGATAAACACAGATTTCGGGGCAGGTAACCCCATGCCAATCCAAGTGTGCTTGGGCGACATCATGGTCAAATAAATCCAGTTTTGGCCTTGCTTACATCACAAACTAAGTGATGTGGGTGCACCGCAACCAAATGCTTAACACGATTCCCCGTCCCAACACCACCCTATGAGAAAGTGGCTGGGGCTGCCAGGCTTTTTACATACATGTAAAATGCAATTTCTCCTATCTTTTGCTAGCCTCTTCTCTCCTTCCCCTCCACATTTCCCACTGTGAGTTTTAGACTGTAAGCTCCTTGGGGACAAAGATCTCTCTCTCTCTCTCTAGTTCCTCTGTAAAATGCCACATAGTTAATGGCACTGTATAAACGACAACGGTAATTAATACACTCTCAGGATTAATGGTCAATAGGTGGAAGGATGACCAAAGCAGTGTACTTTCTTTGTACAACCCACGTTTACAAAAGGTTTTTTCCCTGCCTGGATTTTTACACCTAAATAAATAAATTTGTATGAACATAAGGAGACAATTTCCCAGGAGCATAGCCGAATCTCATGAAATGCTACCACCCCAACAAATAAATAAATAAACCCCAAAATTATGAAATGCTTGAGCACGGCTTACATGCTCAGGCAAGCCCAGCAGAATTTGTACATAAAAGTTATTAACAGCTCAAAAATATTTCCACCTGCTTTCATGCAAGCACGTTACTAGAAATTGGAAGGAAAAAACCCCAGTTTGATTCCAAATCTTTTTTTGTTTTGTTTTAAAAGGAATCCATTACAAAACAGATCTTGGTAACATTAGTGCATACGTTGCGTCAAAGAACCACACACATAGACACACACACCTTTTACAAAATGGACTGTGCGCTATTAATGTTGAAGAAAAACATTCACATTAATTTTATAAATGTCATGGGTGTACATCAGACAACTGCATCAGATGTCTCCCTCCTCAAAAGAAAAAGGGGGAGGCCCCCACTCCATACAGAGAACTGCTGTAGCAGAGGTGACCTTTCCCAGTGTCCTTTAATTATAATTTTGCTCAAAGATTACTAATGAAGATAACAGGGCACAAACTTCCCTTTTTTCTGGTACGACAGATGAGTTAGGACTTGTACTGGGAAAGGTGGTGATGGCAGGAAACTCTTACGCTCTTAAATCAAACTAGCATTTAACTCTTCAAGCCGTTTTAAGTCCGGTACAATGGACGGACTTTGAATAACATCAACAAGAACTAAACAATGACTACGATCCCATTGAAACTTATTAGTTGCAGATCCACAGAACACACCTTGTTAGGTTAAAAAAAGGGGGGAGCATAACTTTCAAATATCTGGAAGGGCATTAAGAAGAGGATTTTGAAGTTTTGTGGTAAGAATAATAACAAAACTTTTTTTAAAAAAAACAACCAACACTGAGCAAAACTAACATTTTTCTGACATAACAGAAAGCTTATTTTGTTGTTGTACCGGAATGCAGTTCTTTAAGCTGAGTAGCTCAAGATGCAATTAGCAGAAAACAACTAAGCACAACAAACTGGTTTAAAACTGAAGTGGCTAGCAAGTTATTTAACATTTTAGGAGATTTCATAAAGCCAGAAAGAACTTCCAGGCTTAGTAACAGACTGGTGCTTCTTTTAGGGAGTAAAAAAAAAAACTGAACGAACCTCCGGCAGACTCGACAACAACAAAAAGGGGCACTGTCTCTTTAAATAAGCCTGTCACAGTCATAATATTGCAGGAAATAAAGGAGACATTAAAACGCCGCACACACACAAACACCAATTCCATCACATCATATAACATACCGTCTTGGAATCTAATTCGTGGTGGGGTTGAGCTAATACTTTATCTACGCTTGCCGGATCAGCAAATGTAACGAAACCAAAGCCTCTGAAATGAGACAAAGAACAAGAGAAGGTGGAGAGGGAAATGGGACACAGCGTGAACTCAGCACTGGAAAAGAAGCGGCAAAAATATATAAAAAAAATATGGACACAGTTTCATCCTCTCTTGCCCTCTTTCAAGAAGCTACCACCCTCTCATTTAAAATATACACTTTGGTTCCGAGGAAGGGAAGGGGAAGACTTTATATGCCGTTCTTTTAATCGTTCCTCCTCCTCCCCCTCCCCAAAAAGAGACCTTTCTGCTTTATGCAGAAGTGAGAAGAAGTGATGGGATGTGACCTCTTTATTAAAAAAGGGTAAATAAGCCAAAGAGACTATTTTTTTTAAAAAAAAACAACACCTAACAGCAGAAGCAAGTTTCTCCAAGAGATAAAGTGGGATATAATTTAACAAGTTCCCACCAGCAAAAATTAAGCAGTGTCCATCAGCATTTACAAACAAGACTCAGAACTATAAGTCAGAACTAGGAGTAGTCCAGAAGTTTTTTTAAAAAAAGATATATAAACTTCCAAGGAATCATATATACTGTGTGTGTGTGTGTGTGTGTGTGTGTGTGTATATATTCTTAAATATATTGACACTTGCTTCATAGACAGAATATTCAGGCTTCCATAAAATACACATAGAGACAGAGAAAGAAAGAGAGGAGTATCCATAGGAAGAAAACTTTGATTTGAAAGATGACTTACCTGGAGCGCTTCGTAGTCGGGTCTCGCATGACCATACATTCTCTAATGTCTCCAAATTTACTAAAATAATCTCTAAGGTTGTCTGTGGGATGGGAGAAAGAGAGAGTGAGAGAGAGGAGGAGATGGGGGAAGGAAAAAAAAAACACAGAAGCAAACGTAAACATAAAAATAATAATACATGATTTAAAACCAGCCACTGGGGAGGGGAGAGAATGACCTATTATTTTCTTTCACAGAAGATGGGAAAGGATTCTTTGGTGGCACAAGGAAGCTTCTTTTGCTCTGCCCCCCCCTCGCCCCCCAGCCCGCCATCCCTTAAAAGTGCGCGCACGCAAATTTAAGGTCGAATAGAGGACTCGAGAAATGGATCTGTTATTTGGAGCAAATAAAATATCGCATCTCCTTAACCTTGTGGAAGGGGAAAACAAAAACAAAAAACGTGTGTCTGTCTGTGACTGTGTGAGAGTGTTGGGAAGGAGGGGGGGTTCTGGAGGGGAAGGAGGGGGGCAAGAACCCGATGCAACTGACCTGGGATAACAACAAAGACCTATCAAAGGAGACAGGGCTGGAGGGATGGGGGGGAGTGGGAGATGGGGGCGCCCCCCACCTCTCCCCACACGGCACACGCACCCTCACCCCCGTCTTACCTGGTGATGTTTGCCAACTCAGGCCGCCAATAAACATTTTACTGGAAGAAGAAAACATAACAGAGTTAAGCACAGATGTCAGATCGGCCATTTTGACGTGTAACTTACAAAAGCGAAAAGGAAGGCAGAGGTGGAAAGGGGGGTGGGTGGCTGGGGGGGGCGCCGAGGGAAGCGGAGCCTGGTCTGGCCAAGGGGGGTGGGGGGGAGAGAGAGAAGAAGAAAAGGAGGTGGAGAAGCAAAAGAAGGGGTGAAGCCGGGAACGAGCGGGGAAGAGGAGGGGGGCAGATCAGTGCAACCCACCCAAGGTGAGTAACTCAGAAAGAGGGGGGAAAGCGAGCCAGAAAGAGCCGGCACCGGATCAGCCATTGGGGGCTTCTCACGCGCGCGCTCTCAACCCCCCACCCACCCCATTAACCCAGTTTTGTTAAAAAGGTGGTGGGGGAGGGCAGGGGAGCATTCTAAAGTGGCAATGCAAGAGGAGGAGGACGCACGCGGAGGGGAGGGGGCGCGCGGACGATCCAACTCACCCAGGGTCGTGCTGAGAGTCATTGGGGCTCCCAGATATCGCTTGGCTCCCTTCCGCCTCCATGGCTGCAAACGAGAAGAAGGCTCAACCCCGTGGAGAGAGAGAAAGAGAAAGAGAGAGGGGGAAAGAGAGAAAATAGCCCCCACCCTGTAGAAACCCCCCACCCTCCCCCCTGGCTCGCTCTTTCTCCACCCCCCCTTTTTGCCCCCTTTCTCTGATCACTTCTCTTCCTTTTATCTTTCTTTCCCCTCTTTCTTCTCTCTCTCTCTCTCTCTCCCTCTCTCTTTCTCCCCCCCCCTTTTTTTTCTCCCCCCTCTCTCCTCTTTTTCTTTTCTTTTCCTGCTACCGGCGAATATTACTGGCTGGAGGGGAGGAGAGGGAGAGAGAGAGAGAGAGAGAAGCCGGGGAACCAGCCAGATCCTTTCACACGTGGGATCAGCTTAGCTTAGCTCAGCTCAAGCTCCTTGCTTTCTCTCCCTCCTCCCCCCTCTCCTCTCTCTCTCCCTTTCCGCGCACGGCCATCCTCCCCTTCCAGAGCCAGCCAGCCAGCCAGCCTTGCTCCCTCCCATCCACCCCTCCTCCCCCTCCGCCTCCTCCCCCTCCCGGGGACGCACGTGGGGCGGAGTTCTCAGAACGTACAGTAACCGATTCGAGAGACGTCACAAGCTCCGCCGAGGCCCCGCCCCCTTCCCCGGCTCCCGCTTCTCTTCGCCCCGACGCCCGCCCGCCCACCGCTGGCGCTCCAAGCGCAAGGAGCCGGGCGGACGCAGGCAGCCGGATTCCGCCCGGCAGCCTGGCTTGACCGTGACCTGGATCCTTTGGGGCTGATCTGACATGCGCCGCCTGCGCCTGGCAAAACAGCGCTCTCGCTCGCTCTCTCACGGAATGGCGAGCCGGACAGCCCCACTACCTTGCAGTCCCCTCCCCAGGTCTCTCCCGTGGTGGGAGCAGGTTAGCCGTGCTTTTTAGATCCTAAGGGAGAAAACGCGGGATGCTGTCAGGGCAGGACTTGGGGCATCGGCCCAGGGCCCCTTGTCAGCAAAAATGAGCAGGGGCTTCTCCCGCACAACACACACGTAATTATTATTATTGTTCTGTTCTGAAGTGCCCTGGGATCTTCAGATGAAAGGCAGTATACAAATTATTATTATTATTATTATTAATGTATTGGTTGCTTCTTTACCAACATAACTCAATATACAGTGGTACCTCAGGTTAAGTACTTAATTCGTTCCGGAGGTCTGTTCTTAACCTGAAACTGTTCTTAACCTGAAGCACCACTTTAGCTAATGGGGCCTCCCGCTGCCGCCGCGCCGCCAGAGCATGATTTCTGTTCTTATCCTGAAGCAAAGTTCTTAACCTGAAGCACTATTTCTGGGTTAACGGAGTCTGTAACCTGAAGCGTATGTAACCTGGAGTGTATGTAACCCGAGGTACCACTGTATAAACAAACAAACAAACCCATGCATTGAAACGGCCATAGAGGGAAAAGCCTGAAAGACGGTCCTGTTTTTAAAAAACGTCCCACCCAGTCAAGGAAGCCACAGATGATTAAGGGCCTGGCAGAAAAGAAATGTTTTTGCCTGGCTCCTAAAGTTATGTAATGATGGTGCCAGGAGAGCCTTGCAAAGGAGAGCACAGGCGGAGAGCGACCCCTGAAAAGGCCCGTTCTCACGTTGCCAAATGCACCCTCCGCGGACCTCCCAAATGGTGGGCAAATGAAAAAAGGCCCACAGACGCCACAGGCGTGCCTAGGGTCCCTTACACCATTGGCAAGGAGCTGTATTGGCACACACGCATACAAAAAATCACTTTACCGCAATAGCCACATTAGAAATTACTGCAATTTATGTGACCCATGTACTTGAAGCGTCCTGAGTAAGGGTGAGGTGAGGAGGAAGGGCAAGAAAATTTGCAACACCTTTGTGCCGCGGTGCAAGATGGAGGGGAAGCTTCCCCTGCGTTTGATCTCGCCACAATAGTGGCATCGTGTTGGCATGTACTCCGCACCCTTACAGGTTATTTTTGCGTGCCCACCCCCCCCCCCGGGGCTTGAGGCCCCACTGGGGGTGGCTACACCGTTGACAAGCATACAAAAGCTTCCTTATATACTGGATCAGATCCCTAGCTCAGTGTCATCCACACACTGGCAGGCAGCAGCGCTCCAGGGTTTCAGACGTCTCTCCCAGCTCCACCAGGAGATGCTAATGAGGTTTGAACCCAGGACCTGCATGCAAAGCAGCTGCTCCACCCCTGAGCTGCAGCCCTTCCTTATTGCAAAGGATCATCCTGAGATTCCAGTACTGTACAAGATGTAGAGCCCATGTTTGCTCAGAGGCTATGCCAGGCATAGTTAAATAAATTGGAATAATTAAGCACTCCCCTATTGGGGACTGAAGTTTAGACCTTCTGCATGCAAAGCAGATGTTCTACCACAGGGCTATGGCCCTTACTCTTAAAACATAGGAAGCGGCCTTAAACCAAGTCAGAACATTGGTCCCTATCGCTCAGCATTATCTTAACTTCTCGCCAGGAGCTCATCAGAATTTTGGACAAGGAGCTTTCCTAGCCTTACCAGAAGATGCCAGGGATTGAACTTGGGACCTTCTGCATGCTAAGCAGATCCCGCTGAGCTCAGGTTTCCCCTGTGCTGAATTTTAGATGGTAAGTTCCTTGTTCGGGGGGGGGGGGTCCTGCCCTCTTGTACATTGATAATGTTGCATTTATTTTGCCTACTTGTAAACAAGTGTATTTAGTGGGAGATCTGCGATGATGTCTACTGATGTTTTCATTTTTATTCTAATGCAGCTTGGGGTGGGGGGTGGTACTCAGAATTTGGTTGGAGCAGCAATCTGCTTCTTTTAAAGAGGGAATATGGGACAAACTGATTATTATAGGATAGCACCAGTGGCTCTAGCCTTCCTTACAAAGTGCCCATGGGAAGGTTTGCTTTTGAAGGGGAGAAGGAACACGGGGAAAGGCAGAACGTGCTTAACCCTTCAACTGAATTTCACTTTTCGCTGATACTGTATGTGTTTGGGGACTGTGTTTCTCTTATAAACATGCACCTTGACAGAAGCAGCCGAGGGAAGAGTTTTGGGGAGGGGGAAACTGATTGCAGGGACAGGGCTAAGAACCCCTTCCATCTCCTCTCTTCTGCAAAGCAAGTCATAACCTCCCCAAGGCTATTTTGGTAGGGAAGAAAGTGGGGGCCCTTGGGGATTTGTTGTTGAACGTGGCTGCACCGTAACATATCGTTTGCTCCTTGGCAACACATGGGAGCTGGTAGCTCAAAACGGGAGGAACACTAGGGCTATAAGAAAATAAAAATACCTGCATGAAATCTGTGCTTTGGCTTACATGACTGGCAGCAACCCATTCTGGAAAAGACATTCAGAAGAAACACTGAATAAAGGCCTTGGGGAGGGGGTCTCCATCCCGTTCATCGTCTTCCACCTCTCCTTATTCATATCTTCTTCCCTTGTGCCCCTGGAACAGACAGAAAGTAATCCCACAAATTGCATTATGCCGATCAACTTCTCTCCGGTTCCTGGTTTAAATATAATCACATTGGCTGGAGTGGTTGGTAGCGGATCACAACCGTAAAAAATGTCCCCCAAAAGGCCTGATCCCATATGCCACTCGGTGGGACTCCTCACTTTATTCTCCGCGGGGGCAATTTTGCTTGCAGGTGATTCTGCAAATGAAGGAAACTTGAAAGAGACTGTGCTTTTAATCAGAATTCCTATTTTTGCCTTCTCTTTAAAAAAAAATCTAATTGTATTTCCCCACCTTCCTCAAAAATAATAAGAACACTGCTACTACTTGGTAGGATAGGGACAATTCGCTCCAAATGAGCAAAGGCAGGAAAAGGAGGAGCTGTTTATAATGTCTTACAATGTGGTGCCATTTCAAGGTCAAGAGAGGATTTAAAAAAAATGTGTCACAATCCTCCCAGTTTATGGAAAACTCCCATGCAAAGATTTAGGACACCTCCAGCCTTCATAAATATGGGGATGATGATGATGATGATGACTCTAGAGCATCTCACGTCCATCTTTGGGTTTACGCCTCTTCAACTTCTCTCCAGTATTCTCTGTTTGCTTCCTGCACCCACACGGTGTCATTATATTTCTTTATATCTCACATTTCCCCCAGACTCAACGCTGCTTACCAGAATCAAAACAACATGGACAAAATATGAAAAGCTGAAAGCATATATTTTTTAAAAAATAAACAATGTTTACAAGTAATTAAACTATAATACAATTAAAACAATATAAAAACAAATATATTGTTATATATTTAAAACAGCCAGTTCTCAAAAGCCTGTTGGAATAAAATGGTCCTCCACCTGCCGGAGGAAGGACAGCAAGGGATATCTAGTGCTGTTGTTATTGCTATTAAAATAATAATAATTAATAATAATTTATTATTTATACCCCGCCCATCTGGCAGGGTTTCCCCAGCCACTCTGGGCGGCTTCCAGCAGAATATTAAAATACAATAGTCTATTAAACATTAAAAGCTTCCCTAAACAGGGCTGCCTTCAGATGTCTTCTAAAAGTCTGGTAGTTGTTTTTCTCTTTGACATCTGATGGGAGGGCGTTCCACAGGGCGGGTGTCACTACCGAGAAGGCCCTCTGCCTGATTCCCTGTAACTTGGCTTCTTGCAGCGAGGAAACCGCCAGAAGGCCCTCGGCACTGGACCTCAGTGTCCGGGCAGAATGGTGTTATGTGGTCTTGGCGGCCACTCCCAGTCACCAGTCTAGCTGCCACATTCTGGATTAGTTGTAGATTCCGGGTCACCTTCAAAGGTAGCCCTACATGGAGCGCATTGCAGTAGTCCAAGCGGGAGATAACTAGAGCATGCACCACTCTGGCGAGACAGTCCGCAGGCAGGTAGGGTCTCAGCCTGCGTACCAGATGGAGCTGATAAACAGCTGCCCTGGACACAGAATTGACCTGTGCCTCCAGGTCAGTTTCACTTTTACTTAGTGTCAGATCACCAACATCCATAGAGGTGAACACCAGGTCCAAGGCATGTCCAGGGTTATGAGTTGGATCAGACTTATTCAGGGACAGCCCCATGGAGGCCATGCTTTCCACGAAGTCCCGAGCGGCCCCTTGTAAGGTCGTGTCGGCATGGATGTTAAAAT